TGCCTCAACCTCCCGAGTAGCTGGGACTACAGGTGCCCCATACCATTCTTGGCTAGTTATTCTATTTTTGGTAAAGAAGGGGTCTTGCTCTTGCTCAGGCTGCTCTCAAACTCTTGAGCTCAAGCCATCCTCCTAAAGTGCTAGGATTATAGGTGTGAGCCACTGCACCAGGCCTGAATGAACACAGGCAAAATATTACTGTTGATCACGACAGTCCCTGTAGGCAGTGTAGTACTAAATACTTTGTGCACATTAACTCATTCAGCCTTTCCATAGCCACCTCTGGTATATTAACAGCTTCAGTGTTGGGTTAAGGATACTGAGTCACCCAAAAGGTGAAATAACATGCCCAGGATCACCCAGCCAGTAAGTGGCCAAGACAGGGCTTGAGTCTGGGTCTTCTGAACTCTGGAACTGGAGTCCCTTAACCACTACTTGCCCTGGGGTTCTCTCAGAGTGGTTCTACTCAGAATTCTGTAGGCTTATTCTGAAACTATATTCTTAGAATCAGTAATAGAATACTAAATTTAGGCTTGGCGCCTGTGGCTCAAGTGGCTAAGGCGCCAGCCCCATACACCTAAGGTGGCAGGTTCGAATCCAACCCAGGCCCACCAAACAACAATGATGCCTGCAACCAAAAACAGCCAGGCATTGTGGTGGGCGCCTGTGGTCCCAGCTACTTGAGGGAAGCAGGAGACTCATTTGAGCCCAGGAGTTGGAGGTTGCTGTGAGCTGTGATGCCATGGCACTCTACCCAGGGGACCAGCTTGAGGCTCTGTCTCAAAAAAAAAAGAATACTAAATTTAAAGCTGTAAGGAAACTTAGTCTTATCCAATAGTTAAACAGGATTGCCAGTTTAGGCAAATGAAAATACAGGATACTCAATAAATTTGAATTTTAGATAAACAATACCTAACTTGGCCGGGTGTGGTGGCTCACGCCTATAATCTAAGGTGACCAGATTTTAACATTGGTAAAGTGGGACACCATTGACAGGGGTGGGTGGTGGGTGGGGGGGTGTTCTTAATTAAAAATTTGGTCTATATGGAGCAACAAAAATTTTCATAGAATGCAAAAATAGTATTGTAATATATTTTTAAATTTCAACTTATGTATAATTTATAAATATCATACATTAAAAATTATGTATAGTATTATTTTATTCTTTGGCATATTTCTCATTTGAGTGAATTTTTTTTAGTAGATTGCTGTCATTGTTTAAAAGATCATGAA